TAGTGATAGTGGTGGCGTCTTTAAACACAAGTTAAAGTTAGTAAACAAATTATCTCCGCGGTACACCACACACACACACACACACACACACACACACTAACACACACACACTACTACTACTACTACTACTTTGCTGTCACTCGGAATCTAGTATGACAATCATCCAGCTATGCTACAATAATATGAGTTATTAAGGATGTTACCGATACAGGGCCGGCAGAGTTGATCACAGATGTTGCACACGTGGAGGGCTACACTGAGTGCGGGAGGGGCGGTGGCAGCGTCTTTCCGGCGTTTGCGCTTGTCTGCCTCGGTTTGCAGTCGGGCTAATCCGAAATGATTGACATCTTGTCGTGTGCTGCTCCACCAAGCGTTACGATGTGGAGTAATCGTCTCCCAGGTGAGGGGGTCGATTTGTCATTTTTCAGGTTTGTCGTAAGACTATCCTTATACCTTTTCAGTTTCCCTTCAGCGTTAAGTTTACTATTCGTTAGGTGACTATAAAGTAACTGCTTTGGTAGTCTATTGTCGTCCATGTGTGTATAACATGGCCATTACAATGTAGTTGTTCATGGATAATGGTAGCCTCGATGCTCCTACAGTTGGTGTCAGCAAGAATACTGGCATTTGTTCTCTTGTCTTCCAGCGAACTCGGAGGATGAAAAGTAGACTACGTTGATGAAAATCTTCAAGTGCCTTGAGGTGCCTCCTGTATGTGACCCATGTCTCACTGCCATATAGCAGGGTGGGGAGGACCACTGCTCGATAAACGTGTAACTTTTTAGATAATTTCAGTTCCCTACAGCTGAAGACACGGTTTCGGAGTCTGCCAAAGGCTTGAGATGCACATCTGATCCGATGCTGAATCTCTTTATCGATGTCTTCGGTGGTGGACAGGTGGGAGCCGATATACCGAAAGTGGGTAACATTAGAGAGGGTAGTACCGTTAAGCTGGATGGATGGTGGAGGTGTTTCTGAACCAGAGGCAGGCTGGAAGAGAATCTGAGTCTTACGTACATTCACCTCAAGGCCGAAGTGCGCATACGCATCTGCGTAGGTGTTCAGGATCTTCAGGTCGCGTTCAGCGTGAGCAACAATAGTGAGGTCGTCTGCATACTGAAGTTCAGTAATGTTAACTGCCGACACCTTTGTGCCTGCCTGGAGTTGTCTTATGTTGAAAAGACCCTTGATCCGGTACTCGATGTCCACCCCTCCGACTAAATTAGTACTGGCACGAATAAAGAAGGCCGCCAAGAAAATGGAAAAGAGAGACGGTGCCAGTACACACCCTTGTTTAACCCCCGTCTGGATGGGGTAGAACTCAGACTGGGTGCCAATGTGCAGGACAATGCGTTCATGACATCGTGGAGTTGCCTCAAAATGGCGATGAATTTTGGAGGGCAGCCAAAACGGCTGAAGGTCCTCCAGAGGGCTTCCCTGTTGACAGAGTCGAAGGCCTTGGTTAAGTCGATGAAAGCCATGTACAGGTCACTTTTTCTGTATCTAGCGGGCAGCAAAGATCATGTCAGTGGTGCCACGTGATGGTCTAAAACCACATTGAGATTTTGGGAGGAAGTTTTTCGCCTCAGGAAGGAGTCTGTTTAGGAGGACTCGGGCAATAATCTTGCCAGTTACGGACAGCAGCGAGATCCCACGGTAGTTGCCACAGTTTGACCGGTCTCCTTTGTTCTTATAAATATTGACGATGGAGGCGTTACACACACACTGTTACGTGTCACTGGACGATATAATAATAGGATAATTATTGTCTTGAACTTCTGGGTGTAGCTCTCTCTCTCTCTCTTTCTGTCTCTGCAGTCTCTCACAGTCTATCTGTCTCTCTCTATCTGCGGTCCTCACTCTGTCTGTCTGTCTGTCTGTTTCTCTCTCTTTGTAATATCAGCCGTCTGTCTGTGTGTATGTCTTTCATTAAAATACCACTTCATCTTTCTCTCTCTCTCCCTTCACAGTATTTCTTTAATAATTCACTGATAAACTTTTACACCTGATGAAACGATTTTTGAACTTTTCGTCATAAGTTGTCCAGTGAGGAAACGTTTTAAAGCACTTCAAACATACTGGGGTAATCTTTTTCAGCTTCTCAAACGTTTTAAAGCACTTCAAACATACTGGGGTAATCTTTTTCAGCTTCTCAAACGTTTTAAAGCACTTCAAACATACTGGGGTAATCTTTTTCAGCTTCTCAAACGTTTTAAAGCACTTCAAACATACTGGGGTAATCTGTTTCAGCTACCACAACGTACGGTAAGCTCATTTAATGTTGTAACTACAAATTCTGTGTGTATCTGTACCTGTGTGTGTATCTGTACCTGTGTGTGTCTACCTGCAACTGTGTTCACCTGTAACCTGTGTGTCTACAACTGTGCGTGTGTGTACCTGTAACTGTGTGTGTACATGTACCTGTGTGTGTATCTTACCTGTGTGTGTACCTGTACCTGTATGTGTACCTGTGTGTGTACCTGTACCTGTATGTGTACCTGTGTGTGTACCTGTACCTGTGTGTGTACTTGTACCTGTATGTGTACCTGTGTGTGTGCCTGTACCTGTATGTGTACCTGTGTGTGTACCGTACCTGTATGTACCTGTGTGTGTACCTGTACGTGTACCTGTGTGTGTACCTGTACCTGTATGTGTACCTGTGTGTGTACCTGTACCTGTATGTGTACCTGTGTGTGTACCTGTACCTGTATGTGTACCTGTGTGTGTACCTGTACCTGTGCATATACCTGTAACAGTCGCTTCACAAATTACTTCTCTAATATCAAATTGGATTCAAACTCACGTTGGTACCAAGATCACCTCAACAACATCACAACATCACAACATCACAGCATCACAACATTACAACATTGCAACATCACAACATCACAACATTACAACATCACAACATCACAACATTACAACATCACAACATCACAACATCACAACATTACAACATTACAACATCACAACATCACAACATTACAACATTACAACATCACAACATCACAACATCACAACATCACAGCATCACAACATTACAACATTGCAACATCACAACATCGCGAAAATAGCACTGGTTTACCATACTAAAAACAAAACAAATTTATACGACAAAAATATAACAATTATGAAAGTGTATCACCAAAAGCAGACGATAATAATGTAATTGGAAAATAATTATAAAATTATACTAGATTTAATTACGGTATTTTTTTCATTACATAACAGCATAACATATAGAGTGGAAGCTAATTACAAATGACCTAAAACGTGACCTTTGACCTCCGAGCGTAAAAATAGCACAAATTATACATGTTTCATTGTATCAAAGTATATTGATTTTTATTGACACTTAGTATGACGAGGAAGATTTATTAATTAATATTGTACAGTTATATTTGGTTAGGTTAGGTATAGAATGAAAGAACTAATAAAGAACAAGAATAACCTAATTAATTATTTACATAGAAGCATTACTAAACCAACACTTAATCAGAACACTATAAGAATGATCTAAAAATACTTGCTAGAAGTGATAAGAAAAAAAATACATCAAAATTATTCACAACAAAGCAATTCATTATACAGTCAGTGTATAATGAAAGATAAGACGGGGACTTAGTTAGGAAAATACAATTAATAATATATCTGGCATAAAATGTGAAATATTATATGTAAGTCTTAAGGAATAAATATAATTAAAACCGAAAGTTACTGAAGATTACAGGATAAACTGGTTCGTACGTCAACAACAACAACAATACCCTGATACGGACACAACACCTCAGTGAGTCAGTCAATCAGTCAGTGTGTTAGTGAGTCAGTCAGTGAGTCAGTCAGTAAACCAGTCAGTCAGTAAGCCAACCAGTCAGCGTGTCAGTCAATCAATCAGTGTGATAGTGAGTCAGTCAGTGAGTCAGTCAGTAAACCAGTCAGTCAGTAAGTCAACCAGTCAGCGTGTCAGTCAATCAGTCAGTGTGTTAGTGAGTCAGTCAGTGAGTCAGTCAGTAAACCAGTCAGTCAGTAAGTCAACCAGTCAGCGTGTCAGTCAATCAATCAGTTAATCAGTAAAATCAATCAATCAGTGAGTGAGTCAGTTAATCGAGTCAGGTCGATAGATGGTAACTATAGGGCCAATGTAATCAATAAGACACAGGTAAAATTAAACTGTCTTTGTCATTTATGTTAAGTGAGCTGCGTCTATCAGTGGCCCAGGCAGGCGAGAAAGCGACACCTTAATTACTATATTAAGTAGAGATTGAAAGTTCGAGCGAGAGAAAATTCTTTATCGATACAAAGTTGTCAAAAGACCTTATGGCTTCATCGTCCTGAACTAAACAGCTAACTGAGAGACGTTCATTTGTTTTTACTCAAATGAAAGATTATAGTAAATTCAGTAAATACAAAACAAATAAATACACGAAAAAAAGTAAACATAGAAAACAAAAACAATAAATACAAATAAATTTTCAAACACACTACAGAAAAATATAAATAAATATTACAAACAAATAAACGGAAACAAGGATTTAGTTTCTGCTCCTTGCCACCAGATACCTCCCTCAACTCCACCTAAATCACATAAAAGGTTTGAATCCCCTTTAACCTTTAATACTTGGAGTCTAGTGTACAAGCTAAGCGGGAATAAGTGTTTTAAAAAAAATAGTATATAGAATTCAGTAGTACATTATAAGGTTTAATTTCGACTCGTAAATGCATGTCAAGTTATGATACACAGGTCTTTAGGTGATGGTGGTGGTAGTTGTGTTGTGGTGATGGTGGTGGTAATGATGATGATGATGATGGTGGTGATGATGATGATGGTGAAGACATGTATAGATCGGGTTCATTAATGCCAATCTCTTATTCATCTGATCAATATAACAATGTGCCTTCATTATGAGCATTTGTGAGTCACCTGGCGTCATTATGGGCACCTGTGAGACACCTGGAGTCATCATGAGTCACTTGGAGTCATTATGAGGTGTTTACAATAGAGAAGATTTAAGAGAGATATTCCCAGAAGAGATATTCCCAGAAGAGATATTCCCAGAAGAGATATTCCCAGAAGAGATATTCCCAGAAGAGATATTCCCAGAAAAGATATTCCCAGAAGAGATATTCCCAGAAGAGATATTCCCAGACGAGATATTCCCAGAAGAGATATTCCCAGAAGACATATTCCCAGAAGAGATATTCCAAGAAAAGATATTCCAGAAGAGATATTCCCAGAAGAGATATTTCCAGAAAAGATATTCCCAGAAAAGATATTCCCAGAAGAGATATTCCCAGAAGAGATATTCCCAGAAGAGATATTCCCAGAAGAGATATTCCCACGAGAAGATTATATAAGAGACAGAGAGATATTTATCATCAGGTCACTCAGTCTCTTTAAACATTACTCTCCAGAAATAATATTGATTCAGGCACAAAATTCCTTGGAACATTATAATGATGTGGGTGACTTTAATCAAACTTGAGTATCATAGAGACTTATCGAGCTTACAGGGGGTCGTGAGTCTGTACGGTATGACCCTCTCCATCTGCTGATTACACTCCGATAGCTTGTTAAAAATTATGGAAGTTTTGAGGCAAATTTTGAGAATTTTTTTATATATGTAATTTTTTTTAAAAGATAATATTATTCTCTGGGTGGCTTGTAGGTCAGGCTTATTGAGTGGCCAGTATGTTAAGCTATCTGAGTGGCCAGTCAGTCGAGAATTAAGAGCACGGTAAAAGGTGTCTTACTGGAGAGAGAGAGAGAGGCTCTTATCTTATCTCTACCCCTAACAGTCATCGCTGACATTAAAACTCAAGAAGTAAGACGAAGAAGAACACTTTTCTCTGCTAGCGTCGTCGACAACAGGAAGCGTCATCCCAGACCGTCAACTATTCAGGTATCATTCGTTCGGTCTGGAGGTTTCTCGTGAGGGGGATAGTGGATGTGTTTTGTGGGTTTTGGGGGCGTGTTGTGGGGTTCAGGGTGTGTTGTGGGGTTCAGGGTCGTGTTGTGGGGTTCGGGGTCGTGTTGTGGGGTTCAGGGGTCGCTAGGGGGTTCAGGGTCGTGTTGTGGGGTTCAGAGTCGTGTTGTGGGGTTCAGGTGTGTTGTGGGGTTCAGAGTCGTTAGGGGTTCAGGGGTCGTTGTGGGGTTCAGGGGTCGTGTTGTGGGGTTCAGAGTCGTGTTGTGGGGTTCGGTGTAAGGGTGAGATTTAGAAAGGCATATCTTGCACGGTTCCATGGGCAGCTCAATAGGGGGGGTTCGGTAAGGAGTCGCACTTAACCTTTCTTTAAGACCATAAACAATAGCTGAGGATTGTAAAATATCAAGATAATAATAATAATAATAATAATAATAATAATAATAATAATAATAATAATAATAATAATAAATAATAATAATAATAATAATAATAATATATATAAATAATAATAATAATAATAATAATAATATATAATAATAATAATAATAATAATAATAATAATAATAATAATAATAATAATAATAATAATAATAATAATAATATTCTCTCAGTAATTTAATGCCTCAGGTCCTTGCTCGTTTAGTCAAAATATTCATAAAGTCTTGACTGAAGTAGTGAGGGTCTTGGTGAGATGTTGCCGGAGAGTTATTAATAAAGATTCTGAGTCTTAGTAGGAAATGTTGTGCTGTGTTGTGTTATATGACGTTGTGTTGCGTGGTTATGTGTTGTTTGTGTTGTGTGGTGTGATGGTGTGGTGTTGTGTTATTGTGTTGTATTGTGTTATGTTGTGGCCTCGTCTTAGTTGAAGGTATGGCGGAGAATGTATGCAAATTTCTATTTTTTTAGTACTACCTGTAGATTGGACACTCCAACTTATTTCACCCAAGGATAAACCACGCAATTGTTATCCTAACATTACCTAACCTAACCCTAGTCTAACATTACCTAACCTAACCCTAGTCTAACATTACCTAACCTAACCCTAGTCTAACATTACCTAACCTAACCCTAGTCTAACATTACCTAACCTAACCCTAGTCTAACATTACCTAACCGAGCACTAACCTAAAATCTCCAGGCTGCGTTTAGGTTGCCTCCGTCTACCCAGCAGTAATTGGGAACCTGGATGTTAATCAATTTGTGGATCGTATTCCTGGGTAATGGTTTGCCAGTGCAGTTGGCGAGTTGTCCGGTCTTCTCGGACTATTCCTTGACACTGGGTCATGCAACTCGTTAACTTACGGTGTTGTTGTTGTTGTTGTGTTGGCGGTCCATGGGCTACACGAGAGACAACCATTATTTAATCATCAGTTGGAATAAGCTGGGTGGGCTAATCTTCAGGTAATCTTTGCCTGGCATCTTCTTACCTTCCTGCTGGCTCCTACACACACCTTTTATCACTCTTCCCCATCACTTTGACTGCAGAGAGAGGACGCGTACTTCAACACCACGCTTCACTTCACCGTCTATTTATTATCTCCTGTATTGGGTTCACAGTGGTGGGGGGGAGTGGGGAGGAAAAGGTGGAGGGATGGAGAAAGGCAGGAAAGGAATGAAAAAATAGAGGAGGAAGGAAGGAGAGAGAGAGAGAGAGTCAATTCCTCCACTCACCAAAGTGGACGGAACTTTAGCTACCAGCAGCAGGAACAAGGCAGACTGATGGGAGAGCTCTTCAGTCCTAAGATGACTGTCCCGGAAGCCAATAGAACCCCACCACTTATACAACTAGAGTATGAGGAACAACTGACCACAGTGGCGGTAACTCAGAAACGACTATTACGAAGAGTTATGTTAAAATAGCAGTTGGCTCTGACGACATCAGCCCGTATGTCTTACGACATTGTGCCAACGAGCTCGCTGTTCCTCTTTCGACTGTCTTCAACACCTGCCTGGTGGAAAACACGTGGCCCGCCATGTGGAACAGGCCAGAGTGGTACCTATCCATAAAAAAACGGTACCATATCATTGTTATCTGTGGTCAACAAGATATTTGAAAAGCTATTCGTGGAGGAAGTGTGTCGCCACTTTGACCACCACAATCTGTTGTCTAACCGGCAGTTTGGTTTCAGATCAATTCAATCCACCTCAGACCTGCTGCTGCTCATCCCCAGAGACTGGCAGGATGCACTGGACAATGGTCTGGACACTCTCGTGATCGCCTTTGACATAGCGGGGGGGGCCTTCGACCGGGTGTGGCACAGGGGCCTCCTGGAGAAGCCTCGAGCGAAGGGAATCGAGCGGAACCTCCTCCTGCTTCTAACAGACTACCTGCGAGGGAGGACCCTCAGAGTTGTCGTCAACGGTCAGACCTCCCGAGACTTTCCAATAGATGCGTCGGTCCCTCAGGGATCTGTTTTGGGACTGATTTTATGGAACATCTATATTGACGACCTCTTACAACACATGCCAGTGGTATCAGCCTACGCTGATGATTGCACCCTAACGTGCTCTTATCCCCGCCAGGATGGCCAGCGAGCAGTCCAGATAGTAAACCAGCAGCTGGAGCTGATCCGTGGATGGAACACACGTTGGCAGGTGAGTTTTGCCTCTTAGGAAACACAAGCGATGGTGATATCCCGCTTCCCGGCGGCCGCCCACGCTGTGAGGGATAGAATCCTCTAATGGGGGGGGGACTTTTACAAATATTTGAGATTCTCTTCCAGCCTGCCCCTGGTTCAGCCACACCTCCACTATCCATCCAGGTTAACTGTACTACCCTCTCTAATGTTATCCACTTTCGGTATCACGGCTCCCACCTGTCCACCACTGTGGACATCATTGAAGAGATTCAGCATCAGATTAGATGTGCATCTCAAGCCTTTGGCAGACTCCGTACCCGTGTCTTCAGCTGTAGGGAGCTGAAATTATCTACAAAGTTACACGTATATCGAGCACTGGTCCTACGCTGTATGGCAGCAGAGGAGCACATACAGGAGGCACCTCAAGGCACTTGAAAATTTTCACCAACGTAGACTACATTCCATCCTGAGTTCGCTGGGAAGACAAGAGAAATGCCAGTCTTTTCGTTGGCACCAACTGCAGGAGCATCGTGGCTTCCATTATCGTGGCTACCATTATCCATGAACAACTATGTTGGACTGGCCATGTTACCCGCATGGACGATAGTAGACTGCCAAAGCAGCTACTTTACAGTCACCTTATGAATAGTAAACGTAACGCCGGCGGGCAACTGAAGAGGTATAAGGATAGTCTTAAGACAAACCTGAAAAAGTGCCAAATCGACCCCCTCACCTGGGAGACGATCACTCCACACCGTAACGCTTGGAGGAGCACCACACGAGAAGGTGTCAATACTTTCGAGTTAGACGCCCCTCCCGCACTAGATGTAGCCCTCCACACGTGCGACATTTGTGGATTGCCGGTCCCGTATCGGCGTCTCTAGCCACCTCAAAACTCACCAACGAAGGTGACATCCCTAATAACTCATATCATTTTATCATAGCGGGATGATCGACATACTCGATTCCTAGTGACAACAAAGTAGTATTAGTATTAGCAGTAGTAGTTAGGTTCGGGTAGGCTTAGTTAGCTTATGTTATGTTATGTAGTTTGCTACTTCCCGTGTTGTTATCAGATGTCGCTAACAAAAGACGCATACAGTAAAAAATAAATAATAAACAAGATGATGAAGACGATGAAGGGGAAGAATTAAAAAAATAGACGAGAGAAGAAAGAGAAATGAAATAATAATAATAATAATAATAATAATAATAATAATAATAATAATAATAATAATAATAATAATAATAATAATAATAATAATAATAATGATAATAATAAGACGAATAATAATAATAAGAAGAACCTTCCTCCCCCTCATCCTCCTTCCTCTTCCCACCCTCCCGGACAAGGAAGAGGCAACTAATCAATATGTTCAACAGGTAGGTGGGGGGGATACACACCTACTGTACCTATCACCACAACAGGGGGCCAGGCTGGTAATGGCAGCCTCACAATACACTCAAGAACTTATCCCACCGACCAGATTCCGTGTCTCACCTTGTGTCTGTCGCTGGAGGGAAGAGCTACAACCTGTGTAACTTAGGATGGTTTTGCACGCATGAGGTGGAATGGTAGATATATATATATATGTACAGTAACTGAGGTTAGGTTAGGTTAGTTCGTGTCACTAACAGTTTTTCTGTGGAGCAAAAATTACTTGTCATGTTCACTTTAAACACACACACACACACACACACACACACACACACACACACACACACACGGGCCTTGAGAAACAATATCCAGGCAGTTTTGAACACCTGCTGTGACTCCTAAAATATTGGTTCAGTGTTTCTTGTAAAGTTACCCGTGAACCTCTCCTCGTTTTCTGTTGTATCTGATCTCTGT